TGTACAACTCGAACTCATGGGGATCAAAAAGGCAGAACTGGCAGCGGCCAAGAAGCGAAAATTCATGGCGCGCCGCAACTTCCAGGATGCAGTGGAAACGCTGCCATTTCGACGACCAGCTTCGCAGCAGCTCTAAATCCATGCCGACCTCCTGCTGTTTCACCCGCTTTACAAAAAAAGCCGACAGAGTTCGAACCGCAGCAAAATGAAATTTTCGGCAGCGACTTTCGTGCGAAATGTGTCCTACTTGCCAACCTCTATGTCTCCTGTTCGATCTCCATTGCCAAAGTCCTCCGTCTCAGCCATGACACCGTGCAATGTGTATCTGTACTGTCGTCTCTGTTTCTTCAACATGTTTTCCATCATCCACGAAACTAACATGCAGTTTGTGTCTTGTACCGAACCTCCACGGCATATGCACACTAACGACATTTGGTCTCTGAACTTGCCTTAGGTTGTAGCGTATCAAATCGTATTTAATCTTGTTACACTGCCTTGGTTTGCAGCTTTCGGTTTGCAGCGCCCAGTTTCCATAGACTCCAGTTCCCTTAGATATCTATTGAGTTCACCACAATGCAGACATGCACTTCCCATGCCCTATTTGAACATAGTCCAGTCCAAAGCACATGCTTCTACCTTAGCTAAAACACACACACACACATGGCATTTTGCCAATCGCAGCCTCACACAACCAGCGCTGCCCATCAGCACCTCTCTCCATGTGCCGTGCAACGAGTCGTCATCCGGCTGCAACGGGCTGCTGCTACGGAGCCGCTTGCCTTGCAGCTTAAGGTCGGGGGGTCGTCTGTACACGCGAAAACGGGTTCGTCTGTACACGCGAAGCGGGGGTCGTCTTTACACGTGAAACGAGGATCAGCTTCATGGACTTCATCTATTTCTTGTCCTCCTGTGCATCGTCTACACTAATCATATATATATATATTTTTTTTTTATTTGCCTCCGCAACGCTTCGAAACCGCGAAGAGTTAGAAGAGATGTTACTTGTCAGGTTCACAGAAGATAATGACGCAGGTATGTGTCAGGTGGAGTATCGATTCTCGCCTGGTCCATGTTTTCACGGTTCGAATGTTTTTGGCACGATATATTTTCAAAGATTCTCATGCTTACATTTTGCCATTTTCATGGTTGCCCTTTACATTTTTACTCGTGACCGTTCTAACTTTACCGCTACGACGTTACAATTTGGGTGATGCAAGTTTACACTTGTTGGTTGAGGTCTATGTTTAGTGCTTGCATGGAACAAATTTCCTACTTAGACTTTGCATTTCCCATGGTTCCTTTTCGCATTTTAATGGTTCCGGTCTACATTTTTTAGCGGGACTTTCCCAAAAAATTTTCTTCTGTCAATTTTTTCTTTGCTGTTTTGCTTTCTATTTTCCAGTGTTTTTCTTCAGGCTCTTTTTTCTTCCGTGGTCTTTTTTGCTCTCCTCTTCTCTTCAACTGCTTTTGTGTCCTTGCCACTTTCAATACTTACGTTTTCAGTTTTTGGCAGGTTAGCTGCTACTTGTAGTGCTTTGATCTTGCCTTTGGTTCTATTCTGTGTCTGGTGTTGCTGTTGCTTTTGTTTGTCTCGTGTTCTTGTCTTCGATTTTTTGTGTCCCTTGGTCGGCCGGTCGGCCGGTCAGCCGGTCAACCGGGCATTCCGCCGGTCAACCGGGCAACCGCCCCGGTCAGCCGGGCAACCGGGCATTTCTTCCCCTAGTCGGCCGATCGGCCGGTCAGCCGGTCAACCGGGCATTCCGCCGGTCAACCGGGCAACCGCCCCGGTCAGCCGGTCAACCGGGCAACCGGGCAACCGGGCAACCGGGGAGGGGAGGGGTCAACCGGGATCCGGTCAGCCGGTTGCCCGGTCCGGTCGGCCGGTTACCGCCATACTCGGGATCAGAGGCCTGTAAGATAAGCATCAATGAGGCCAGGCCTCATCAATATCTGTAGGCGCTGTGTCTTCTTGCTTGGGCACCTTTGCGGGTATGGAACACATGACCTCCCTTCCAAAACCCAAAGTGATGTCATGAGTCGAAACCCAAACTTCACCTGGTTAGAGTTATGACAGCCTCTTGAACTTTTAACAGGGATAACTGTTAACCCACATCAAGTTGTATTGACAAGGCGCATGAAAAACAAACAGCATTTGAAGATCCTCATCGCACATTTCGTCCATGTTATCCGCAGTCTTCCCAGGTTCTACCAAAGGCTGTTCACCATCGAGATCAAGCTTCTCACCACAGGCGGACTGGTTGGTGATCTGGTCCCGAAGTTTCTGGAAGGGATGCCCCAAAAAGATCCAAAAAGGGTTTCTATTACTAGGGAAGTGCAGTATGATAATTTATATTAAAGATCAACAATTGTGGTTGAAATCCATTTTTTCATCAAAAATAAGAGCCTGCAAGTGCTCAAGTTCTGCGTCAAGATCTTCATCGTCACTAGGAAGCGTAAGTCCAGGTTCAGACTTGATGAGGGCAACTCCGTCCATCAGGGTTGAACTCGAAAATTGTTGGGATAACAGATGACGGGCCATGGATTTTGAAACTGACCCCTAAAATTTGTGCCTAAAAATCACGACCGGGCAATCCCGCCCCGGACCCGGCCAAAACCGCCCCTAGACCGGCCAGAACCGCCCCTGAGTTTTGGCACATTCATGAAAAAAATCATGCACATGAAAAACATTCATGCACATGAAAAAAATTCATGCACATGAAAAAAAATCATGCACATGAAAAAAATTCATGCACATGAAAAAAATTCATGCATGCATGAAAAAAAATCATGCATGAAAAATCGATCCATTTTATTGCACGATCGTCGATGTTGGGTTTCTGCACCTCCCTCATATGGAGCTTGGCAACCAGGGCCGCCACTCAGAGGGAATTTTTAGCAGCTTAGACCCTCTACAGTACATGATGCATTCATGCAAGTCAGCATGGGAATCCCATCGATTTTCAAAGTTCCCCTTCTTGAAGAGTTCCAGCAACGGTATGGATTCATCCTTGGTTGGAAGGAAGTTTGAGGAATAGCCAGAAAGATATAATCCAGCAAATTACCGCCTGCATAAACCATCCTACAATAGTTCTACAATATTATTTATAACTTAAATAACCCATATATAGAAGTGTGAACAGCTTTGAACAATGCCGCCCAGCTCCGCCGGAGGAATCTGAGTTCGCCTCTCTTCACGGAAGGCTGGGATAAGCTGCACAACATTACGGGCAAATCTCCACGTATATTGCCTGGGCAGGAAGGCAATACCAGTTACTGATACATCATATATCATTTATAATGCATATTATTTGGGGCCAACATACTGTAATTCAAAATCAAAATCTATACGTCATGCACCCAAAGATACTGTGTTCCCTTCAAGTGCCGGTTTCCTTGAAACTTTTTCTTTCCAGTTGTGGGGTCTGTCCAAGAAGTCGTTGTTTTAACGGTAGTTGGCCGTTCTTCAGCAGTGAGGCAGCCAAGATCTAGTCGTTGGATGATGGGGGAAGTTGACCAAATCCACGTTCTTTTCCATGTCAAAGATTTGTGTTTTTTCATCCAGAAGCTCACCTTGTAAACCTCAAAGTCAAGAAACATTAATTGAAATCAGTCTCGTGGATAAAACATGATAAAACCAGTTCAGCAATTGTGGGGGAACATGGAGTGGGAAAAAATAACCAAGGAACTTCAATAGCGTAACGGGCTAGTGCATTCACCAGCCATACCCAACGGTCATGTAGAGCTATCAAAGAATTCTGTGGGTTCTCCAGTAAAATCACACCTCCAGCTGCGATGAGTAGAAGCTTCAAAAGACAACTCCTCCATGGTTTAACCGTTAAATTTCATTGGGGCCAACCCATATATTTATTTTCAGCATGAACTTTTCTGTGGTTATATTAACCTTTGACCACCCCAAATCCTTGACATCAATTTGTTCGATCTTCTCACTGAGGGCACCCCCTCATTGCCCAGTGGTGTAAGCAAACTTCGGCCACCTGTGCCCCGGTTGACAGGAACAAAGCTGGAGCAGCACACCGCAAACAATGCAGCTACTGCCCCAAACTCGCCGGCCAAGATGAGGCTGATTGCTAGCCTGAAGCATGGGCGGGATGGGATGGAATGATAGGACTCTAGGACATGTCATTGTTTCAAAAAAAATGGTTTCAACCCTTAACCCTAGCTCAACCGAAAAAAACATCCAAGAAACACTAAACCAGCATTGCTGTTCAAATCCATTGGGCTTCGTTTTCCTCTGACCTTTGAGCTTTTACCGAAATCACGCTCATAGGCTGCAGTCTTGTATCCCAGAAGTTTGGCCACCTTTGCTACGCGGGCCACACCAGCGAAAAACTCAAAGACTTGGTACTTCTCATCTCGAAGAACCCCCATCCAAGAGACAAGCAGTACCAAGAAGATAACATCCTAAGTTTGCAAAGGAATGGTGGTCCAAACTACATCCCCAGTACATGGGAAGATATCCCAACTTGAGTCATACTTCAGCCTTTTATATATATATATATAGTATGCATATATCGACAGTAAGTTTAAATCCATGCTTCCATCGGTACTTCCAGCGTGAAGAGTCTCCGAATCATGATTTCCAGTTCAGCTGGCGTCATTGTCACGGAGGGTGCAGTTGCGTAAGTATGGAGTTTGGAAATGCTGCAGGACAGGAACAATGACAGTTGTGGTGTAGACATGGCAACACTTTCACATGAACATCCTGTGGCATGCCACCCAACCAACCCAGTTGGCACTCGGAGAACTAGCTCCCACACCGAACTTGGCCAGGTTGATGCAGCCACGGCGAGCCATTGCCTCCATATGCCGGGAACGAGGCAGCAGGGCATGTTGGACCTGAGGTCTTACCCTAAAAAAAATGAACTATATCACCCAGTTTTCCAATCCAATCATTCCTGAACATGAGAATTTAATAGAATTACCAGGTGTTACTTGTCTTGGCTTTCAGAAATATTTTTGTTGGGAAGGAGTTCGGAGCCTTTTTTGTCACCCTCTGCGCTATGGTACCAAGCTCCAATCAACTCAAGTCTTGGCGTTGCATGTGATCACACATGCACAAAGAAACCCCAAATCAGCCAGTGTGAATGCACACGGTTGGAAAGAAAATGGAACTGGTATATGGCTCACTGCATCAGGGTCAGTGTCACATGATCCACGAAAGCTGGAATGCAATCGATCACGATCTGACGGTACTCAGAAAGATCATCAGGGACATAGTGTTCGGCAAACTTCTTTGTGCATGCCTTCAACCAAGGCTCCTGGGATGTAAGATGAAACTGTTATACAAATTACGCTAACTTGAAAAACAGTTATACAATAACAATGTGGGAGTTGAATCGAAATTATAACGCCCCCACCCCTGTGATGCATAATTTATATATTATATAACCCAACTTTGAACCAAGTTTAGTTGAAACACCCGTCTCCTCCCAAGTGCCGGGAAAGCGCACGCCCCTCTCCATGATCTCCCCACAGACACGCTCATTGAAGACATCTCGGATCTGAACCCACTTGGTGACAGCAGGCTCAGTCTTCGGACGAGGCCTGCGAGCAAAACTCTTCTCTTTCGGCTGAGGGGCAGGGCCTTCGGCAACGGGCTCAACAGCATAGTCAGCAGGCTCAGCAGGAAGAGCAGGCTCAGCAGGAAGGACAGGCTCAGGTGTCTCATTTTTTCCTTTCCCCCGCTTCTTCTTCACCCCACTGGATGATGCCTTTGGCTCAGAACCCCTCTTCTTGGGAGCCTTGGGCTTCCCACCCTTGCCAACAATCTCACCCTCTTCTGCACGTGTGTCCTTTGGATTGGTCTTGTCAACACATGGCGCCAGTCTTGGTGGTGCTGGTGTCGGGGGAATGATGTCGTCAATGGTCATGTAATGCTTGCCCTTTGACCTCCCTTTGGCTTTGGGCAGGGGAACTGCTGGTGGATCCAAAGGTGCTGGCAGCGGCGGATCCAAAGGTGCTGCTGGCTGTGGAGGCAAAGCTGCTGCCGGTGCCTGCTGCTCTGCAACTGCTTTCGCCTTAGCTTTTGCCTTACTAGTAGCTTTTGCCTTGGCTTTCGCCTTGCTCTTGGGCCTGCTCTCTGAAGCCTTTCTTTTCTTGGGTTCCTTGGGTTCTTCAGCCTTCTTGGCCTTAGGCCTTCTCCTTTTGGCAGGTGGATGGTTCTCTGTCTTTTGCTTGTATTGCTCAACCCTTTTGACCACAGGTGCCGCGCCCTCAAGCTCAGCATCCAGCTCCTCTTCTAAGGTAGGTGAGGGAACTTCTTCAACCCCTCCCCCCAAGTCTTCCTCAGCCTCACTGCTGCTGCTGCTGCTGCACTTCGCAGGCGGTTGCTCTGGAGAGCCCATGGGAGTAGGAGCACCAGCTTCCAACACCTGACTGGATTCGGCAGGGGCAAGGCAATCACTGTGATCCAAAGTCACAGGTGGCTCGTCAAGCTGTGGTTGAAGCAAAGCTTCTCCAAAAGCTGCAGCAATCTCAGAAAGGCTTGGACAGTCATCAGGTAGGGTCTCACCTTGTACTGGGGCATCACCAAGGGTCTCATGTCCCACCGGAGCATCACCTTTCACCGCAGGATCATCAGGCAGGGTCTCACCATCAGGTAGGGTTTCCCTTCCAACCCCAGTAGCCCCAGTAGCATCAGGCAGGGATGCTTGGATTTCAGGTTTGGAATCACCCTTGGACATCGAATCAAACTGCTGCACCAAAACCCGCTTCAATGACTCAACTTTGGGCGGGGTCTCTTCGACTTCAACGGGCCCCAAAGGTGAAGGAGTCACACCCTGGGACATGGGCATGGGGGACAAGTCGGCATTGTGGTCCATGATTGAGTAGGGGAGCGTGTCCATGTTGTCAACATTCACTCCGGGTGCCACCTCACTCACCGCATTCACCTGCACAGGTTTCTCCTGTGCAGCAGCACGCTTTTGCTGGCGCTTCAACCTGGGCAGACAAGGCGTGGCAAGGGAGGATACTCCTGGGTGAGCCAACTTGCACATATACTAATGGTATAAATGGGGTATACATAAATCTACATTATATATATAATAATATAATTTATAGCATATTATTTTTAGCACATAATTTATCATATAATTGGCAATGCTTGGCCATAATGGGCAAAACTCCCAAGGCTGTTGTTGCAATAATACCAATTTATTTTCGATTTGGAACACCATGTGTTTAAGGCAAACTAGTTACTTGTCAAGCAACTGGATCTGCATAATCCTAAGATTGAGTTGAGCCAGAACCAGCGAAGAATCAGCACTGGAGCACACCACCGCATCATCATAATTCTGGGTGGCCGGGGCTGCGTTGACCTCGGCGAACTGTTGGTCATCAGAGGCTGGCTTCTCATCAGAGGTTGGTTTGTCATCAGAGACTGGGTTGGCTTTCTCCTCATCTTGCACGGGGCTATCATCATCCACAAACATCCCATCAAGGTATGGGTCATCCAGAACCACCACAACTTCTGTGTCAGCTTCATCACATTCATCTCCCCGAAGTGCTCGCTGCAGGTCCTGCTCCTCTTGCTTCACATCGGCCGGGTTGTCAATCATCAGGACTTTGGAAGGCTTGGCTTTGCGAAGCCTCACTCCCCAGTGCTTGAACAAGACGTCATAGAAAAGCTGGGTGCCATGGTCCTTGGCAAAGCCAAGGTTCAACTAGAAGGCATGGGTTATATTGGGGCCCAATCCAACTATAGTATTACAATGAGGGAAAAAGATCAAGAGCAGTAAGTAGCACAGATATGTATATAATATGATCCTAGGCTCATCCCCATTGCTATAGAAAAATGATTTTGTTTGGCAAAAATGCAGTAAAGAGTCTCTACGTTTGGGATTGGAAGTGCATTCAGTCTTCTCCTTTCCCGCCTTACGCAAAGCATAGGACCAAAGTTTCTTTAACCCCCAGCTATCCAAGTGAAGCTTGATGGCATCCGCAGGACACTGGCAGAGTGCTCGCAACTTTTTGACCTTTCAAGGTGGGGCTTTAAGAATGAGTGGTACCATAATAAACATGCCCAAATTATGTAATCTAATGTAATCTAATGTAATCTACTTCCAATGGAGTGTGTTAACCCAAGCACTACTGAACCAACTTTCCTTGACCCTGCCTGTGCCCGAATAAAGCCAATCTTGGGGGTCTGGATACCAGTCTGGAGCGGACAAAAGAAGTCTGCCATGATGATGAGAACCTGGTAATTGATGCTGATATTCGCCATGCAAGGGATGCTGACAGTCTTCTCACTAGACCATTTTAGCAAAGAACCTTGTGCCCGGAAGCGATCACGGACAAAGCTCTCATCCTCCCAAAATTGGTGGAGCTCTTTAGGCCCTTTTTCGTGAGCCATCCTTCTAGAACAATTGAGCCAACAAAATGCTTGCAGTTGTAAGCATGGTTTTGTTCGTGGCCATGACCCCCCACAGCCGGCTTCCCACGACGGCCCATCAGTGAGGTGCCTTCGCAGTCTACTTGCAACATCGAATCGCCATGAAGCCTGGCAGGTAAGGTGGGGATTCCAGCAGGTTTGTGGTAACGAACTTAAGTGAACAATATCTAACTATTCAAGATTGACAAGCTGACAGACTTTACAGTAGATGATGTCTCGTCCATGAACCGGAGTGCCCTCCATGCACAGGTGTGGATGCAACCCTCGCTACAATTGCGGTCTTGGAAAAAATGCAAGAGCTGTGGTGGGATCGAGATGCATGATCATGGAATCCCATCGGGCCTCCAAGGTCCAAGGGTGGCAGGAATTTGGAACCCAAAGGCTGCCAGATAGACCAAACCAAATTATTGACCCTCAACTTCAACCAGATCACAAAAGTGACCCTAAGTCCAAAAACCAAGTTTTGAGTATAGGGGTCAAAAATGTACACCCTTAGGAAGGTGAAGGTATATATATATATTTATTTTAACCATGCATGTGATATTCTAATCATGCAGCAACAATAATTGTATTACAAGATATTACAAGAACCCAAGATTTGAAAAAAAACATTTGGATGTGTCCATTGGTGAAACATTTCAAGGAATCAGGAAATGGTGCAATACCACCTTGTTCTGAGGTCGCTGATGCGCTCAGACATCGACATTGGGAGTGGCTGGCGAGCGGCTGCCGAAACTGCTGCCGAGTTTCTTTGGCTATTTTGGCTCAGAATTGGGAGGATTTGAGAGGGCAAGGCTTGCGTTAATTCAATCTTTGGGGGTGAGCTTGAAATGATCAAGGTGATGAGGGAGTCTCGCTGATTAGTTTATACAAGGAGATGTTTCCAGCCAAACCCCATTTGCGCACGTTTGATCACTCAGAGATTGAGCACTGAGGGTGTATGGAATCTCTTAGATCAAACAACTAGGCATTTCTTGTAAGTTAGCAGAGTTTGCTTTGCAGAGTTTTCAAGGATTCTGACGCCAATGCTTTTTCAAGTTGCAGACCATGGCTACATTATCGGTGCCAACTGTCTTATCTCAGCCATGTAGGCCAAAAGACCCAACTCTCAGCTGAGGCACCCCTTGACCCGGTTGGAATGCTTGCGAAGCGTTGCTATGGCAGGGCCAGAGGCAGCAGAGGCCCGGACGCCGGGGGGGGTTGCCATGGGCAATTCAGGATGCGGACAACAATTCCGACAAATATTGAATATTGATGAATATTGTATCGTCTATGATAGCACTGGAGTTGGTCCCACTTCTTACCTTCCTTTCATATCCTTTCATATTGTTTGAGGTTCTACTGTAGGGGTTCTAGGCCAACTAAGCCGATGAAGTGCACCTCAGCTTGTCAGGATTGTTTACCTCATCGGCATCAGCTGAACCATTGAGGCACTCAGTGCATGTGCGCCAGCCCTGAGAAGCGCTTTAGATGAATCCTCCTGGCGTCAGTTGGCGCTTGCATTGCTGCAGGAGACTGAAGGAATTTCCAAAGCAGTGATCATGTTTGATTTAAATAGCTTACATGAGTTTGTTCTCTTTTCATGATGATCATGATGTGACAATCATAGAAGAAGGTTTGTAGCAGTTTAGGTCCATGTGTCATGGTGAATAATGTTCATCAATTTGCTACATTTCTCCCAAGCTCGTGATCACAGCTCGTCTCCTCTATCGTTTGTCTTACCGAAATGGCGTTCTTGCTTTCCGCACAGCAACCCAGGAGCAGCAGAATTGTCGAGACGAGGATCCTGTCCTGGGTCGCTACATTCCTGGCTCGTGGATGTTGACTTGTGTGTACTTGCTCTCAGGACGAGCTGCCAGTGCTGCCATGGGAATGCATCGAATGCATCGGACATGGGATCATGGATGTGTTGTGATGTAAGCTATGTCGATTAATTTTGCAGGCTTGGAATGGCTTGGAATGGCTTGGACATGTTTGGGATTTATTTTGTGTCATGAGAAGCGTTTGTGGCCCTTTGGCATGGCATGTTCAATCATTGAAGTCTTGACGCACCTTCAGACCCTCAGCAAAAACAATGGATTCAAAGGCCTTTTGGGACGAACTCACAATTTCATAGATTTCTCCTTGAGAAAGGTTTTTCGCTAGTGAGGTTGCAACCAGCCCCCTTCCAACCAACTTTCAGTTTGCTGACCATCGAGCCACAGATGCCACTCCCTAGGAGGCGTTGAAACTTCCTTGGCTCATCCTGGAAGCTGCGCAGCACGGTTTCCGTCAGGCTTTGCGAAGGTGCTGCGTGCTGCAGTTGCTTGACTGACTTAGCCAGACCCTTGGGACATCTTGGGACCCTTGGGTGGTCGGAAAGGTATGGCAGGTAAAGAGAGTCATAGTAGAGAGCCACTTCTTGAGGTGCCTGAGGCTGCCAGGTTTCACACTGAAATCATGCTCTCATTCTGGTGCCCCTAAAATTCAAGGTTGGAACTGCATGAAATGGCAAGGCTCTCATCATTAGAGTCTCATCATGCAGAATTTCTTCACTTGTTTTAAATGGCAGCTTCACGGGCAGGTTTATCCCACCCTGTTCTGCAGAGCCTCACGTCCTGTTTCAGGATGCACTTGAGCATGGTCAAAAACTCGGAAACAGCGTTGATGTGAGGCGTGCAGGGAGTTGGTGCTTGATGCAGTTGCGCATCCATGATCGAGTATGGTCTTGTTGTATAATGTTGTACATCTCATATCTCTTGTTCTTTGGAGCTGGTTGGAGAATCATAGGCCTCTTCTGTTGTGCATGGGTCTGGTACTTGGCTGTGAGGCATGCTGCAGCCCCGGACGGTGGCTTCACTGTGAGCGAGTTCCGGCGGTGCTTTGAGACCTCCAAGCCTCTGATACTGAAGGACAGGGTGATCCGCTTTTTGTGGCACCAGTTTTGCACCAAAACACAAAGAATGTTTTTATGTACCTATGCCAATCCTATGCCTATGTATTCTCATGTATTACTGTATCATGCATCACCTGTTCCATATCTGATTATATTATATTAAATATATTATATTTGTATATGACATGAATTGGATGACGCTTGTTGCAGCTGCAATTTGTTTCCATGTCTCTGCGCAGGATGCCGATACCCTAGCCACGAGCTCTCCGAAGGGCTGGGGTCTCGATGCGCTGCACAGATCCGTGGCAAAGCGTTTGACACTCGGCAGCTTGAGATGGCCGTGCCGTGCAGGTTTCAGATAGGTTCAGGTCCTAACAGGTTACACATTGGTTAAACATGGGTTAAACCATGTTTCTCCAAAAGTGCTGTGAAAAAAAGGGAATTAAACTAATAAACACTCCAATAAGGCTGAAATAGGCTGAAGGAAAAATGTTAACAATGCCTTTCAGCAAGACCTGCAGTGAGATTTTGCGGGTGAACAGGTGTTTGTCACTGGGCAGGGACGGGAAGCCTCCAAGTACTGGGAATTCGGCTATTCCATGCTATTCTGACCATGCTACACTCAGTACCGATTCCTATTCGATTCCTCAAGGGTCTCCTGGACTGAAGGGAACTGTTGAGCAGCTGAACGAGGTGCCGCTGCCATATCCAAGACGACGCCCTGGCTTTGACTTCTGGCAGGACACGTTGCTTTGGTTGAACATGGTTAAACTAGATGAAGGACGCACCAGTTGTTCTCGCGTGCTTGACCTCATTCCTGGATCTGGGCACTTTTGAGCACGGAAGGTCCATAAGCCTTTTGGCGTTTGCAAGTGACTGCATAGCATAGCAGACTGCGATTTACCAAGTGATCCATAGGTTCTCATATCAACTTTGCATGCTGCCATGGTACCATAGTCGTGGTCCCGCCAGTTTCTTTGAAACAGGTGTCGGAAGCTTATGTTGTTTCCCGTCTTCCAAATTCATTGTGCTGTTCCTTTGCCAAATGTTTCCAATTTGAAATGTTATGTTGCAGAATAGGCACATTTGTATACATTTGTTGTCTCAACGGATAGGGCGGCCGGCGACTATCTGATTCAGCCTGGTTCGGCCCAGTCTGATAGCTTATTGAATGCTTGTTGAATGTGAGCTGACTTGCCAAGACTTGCAGAAAGCCTGAGCATCTCAGCGTCCCCTTCAGTCTCCTTCACCTGTACAATTCACAGGACCAAGCTCTCAGTGATTCGTTTGCCCTTCGATGAGTACGTGACCTACATGGAGTCGCACAAGGTTCTGGAATTTCAAGCGATGGGATATAATATGATATAATATGTATGTATATATATATATATATAAGCGGAATAAAGATCCGGATAGAGAATGATAGCCAAAGGATTTGGTAATTTTGGAGTCTCAGGTTTTGCTTCTGTGTTTCCTTTTGCCCTGTTCACCTTTCTTTGTGCCGTTGTGCGGACATTGCAAAAATGCTTAGGCCGTGCAAAGATCTTTCAGTGTCTAAGTTGCGTATGCTGGACATTGCATGTTCTCCGAAGAAAACATCATTTGTCTGGAAACGGTGGCCACTCCCTAGCAGATCCAAGAAATGGCACGAAATGGCTTCCAAATTTCCAAATCCTGAAAAGCGATGCATTGAATAGTTCTCAATAGTTCTCAGCTATGGCAGCTATGGTCTGTGAAAATAGCTATGGTTCTTGCCAAATCAGAGTTGCCCACCTTGTGACATTGTGGCTACGTCCCTGCGGTAGATGAGGACGTTGAGCCACTGTACCTGTTCCAAGAGCTGGAACCAGATCTGAAACAGGCTGGGATCAGGGCACCCATGGGCACCCGACAGGGAGAGCTTGCGGTTTTCTTCGCGATATTGTTGAAACGTTTGGGAAGGTTGCAAAGGAGATGGAAGGATATATTTGCACCGCTTTGGATTCCTATACTATTATACTGTGCTGTGAGTTCCATCCAAAAACCTGAAGAAATTGCAAGGCACCTTACGCAGCCTGCGACAGTTGCAGTCGGCGTGCTGGGCAGGCCATCGACCCCAGTTTCCATCCACCGGAGATTTTCAAGGACTTCAGCCATACGTAGCAAGCCTTAGCAGAGAGCCTTTCAAACAAACCGACAAAAGGATGACAAAGGTGCATGTCGAAACGAAGAAGTTTCCACTTCAGTTTATTCAGTCAGAGTTCGCAAGCAGCTTGGCATGTTGCGCTGCAATATAATGCGGTAGTTACACGTACAGTCCGTTTTCCACAGGCAATTCTGAGACGATACGGCTACTGTAAACTCATTGCAGGAAGATTTCTTGCTGGATGCCTATGAGCCTCCTGAGGCGGGAACCAGTCACAGCTGAAGGTGTATCCAACACCCATGATATATCCATGGAATTCCATTGATACAATTGCGTGAGTTATATACGATGGTTATACGATGATTAATATATATTTAATATTATTTAATTATATATATACACATAATTCAACATCAACAACAGAACAGGGAGCACAACAATGTACAACATTACACAGAGAATTATTCCGTTTTGGCAGACTCTTACAATTTGGCCGCCGGGAGAAAATCACATCGGCCAGGGTTTCACTGGCCTTGCTGGGTGGCTGCTGGTTGGACCTCCCAGTGTCTCGGCAGATGTGAGACGGTTCAACCTGCTGTGCTTGGTTTCCGTGGAAGGTTTGAAAGATCCTTGATGATCTTTAAAGAACATATCTTGGATAAATCATCTGGCTAGTTTAGAGAGTGCAGCGCAGCAGTTTTGCTCTTCATCCCGGATCCTTTTGGGGTATGCTGGGACTGGCAAGTGATCTGCAAGGACATCACAATCTGCACTGTTTGCAGGCAGCGGGTCTCGTTGGCACTTTGACCCCTGGAGTACAGCCGCGTGGTGCCTTGTCGGCCAAGATTGGGTGAGGCATGGAACCTGTCATGAGAAGTCTTGGGACCACAAAATGTTTTCCAGCCACAGAGGAAGCCACATGAATCTAGAATCCATTTACTTGTGTCAATACTTACTGCAATATGTATTAACATGTCTTAACATGTCTTAACATGTCTTAACATGTCTTAACATGTCTTAACATGTCTTAACATGTCTTAATATGTCTTAATATGTCTTATTGTTCAATATATAACAGATCCTGTCTTAACTGCCTCACCGGGGCCCTGTTCCAGGAACTTACTCTTTGAGGGCAAGAAACTTTGGGCCTTCTTTCCACCTTCGGAGCTGGGTCGAGCAGCACCTCCCAAAGTGGAGGCCACGGATGTCTGGCGATCAAGGGACTGGTGCAGAGACCAAAGCTTTTAAGTTTTGAACCCGGAAATTGGTGCAGTGAAATACTTTTTTGTGGTATTATTTTTTTTGTCTTTTAAAAACTCCCTCTGTTTCTCATAGACCCAGAGGTGGAAGTCCTTCCGAAATTTCAGTTTTGCTTGATTCAGCTCTTGAGGGAAGGAATTCATGGAAGTCGTGGCAGTGCGGCGATTAGCTGGTTTTCTTTCCATCCCTGGTTCATCAGTAACTTCTTAGAATTTCTGGTGAATGTGGCGTTTCCACTCTGTTTCGGAGAGTGGGATTTGTTGAACACGTTTTGCCAAACCGACCCTTACAGCTGGAACTAGGATGTTCTCTTTTCCCCCGTTTCTTGACACCTTAGTTTCACGGTTTCGCCTTGTGGATGGTAAGTGGGTAGTGGTCCATGCGCGTAGTCATTGGATGCGGATGTTGTTCGGTGCTGTTTATAGAGAATAAGTAGATTCAAGATGATTAACTATCCAAAAGAACATGCATATTGTTTATATTCCATATTATCTTCTATTTGAAAAGTGGTTTGAATCACCATCCCCCAATCAAAAAAACAAAAAAAAGGTTTTTGAACAGTTTTTCACCGACCTCCCCCCCCGAAGGCGGGAGTGCAAAAGTACCTCCGGCCGGGTCCCACTTCGGGAGATACTTTTGCACTCCCCTCTTGGGGGGGTCACCCGGGTCCGGGCGTCAATGTTCTATTGATTTTATATAATTTCCCTGCAAAAATCACACAAAATGGCAGTGGGACAAAAGATTTTCAAATAGAAGAAGATATTGCAAAGATCATCCCAATGTTGAGGGGGTTATTGTTGGATTTTTGGTCATTTGAGCTACTTTTGCACTTTGCAATATCTTCTATTTGAAACGCCTTTGGCCGCACCCCCAAAATGCATCTTCTATTTGAAATAATTCCTGAATATCGTCTATAGTAACGGTAAAAAGTATAATCGCTTGTGATTATATAGCTGTAATTGGCATCATTTGGCAACTATACAATATACATCAATATACCAAAACTATCCAAAATTTTCCTGGAGGTGATTCACATATTATATACATATTATTCACATGATAGGTGGACGACCGAGGCCCAGCTGCTGGGTGGTCTCGCTTCGGAGGCGCGCCGCTTCTATGCGGCGCCTCCAGTGCTGACGCTGGCGGATGTGCTGGGGACCGGACGTCAGCCCTGGGGAAAAGGAAAAACATGGGACAAAGATGGGCAAAAGATGGGAAAACAATGGGAACAGATGGGAAAAGGCAAGAAAACTCATAGCCACCTACAGAAAGTAAGGAACTTGTTTCTTCTTTACGCGATTCAAATTTTCCAGAGAGAAGCAAGTGATGTCGTATGTGTGCGATCAGGAAATTGAAGGAGTGGCCAGTGATAGCCATGGTTCAGTCGCGGACCTTGACATTGAACTATGGAAAATATGGAAGTAAGCCCACCATCGAGTGAATTCAAATGAGCCGACTCGGTCGGTCCAAGACGAATCCATTGAGTGATATATGTGATATGCAATCTGGATCAATCTGGCAATCCGGCCCTCATGAGACGGAGGACGCCAGAAGCTGACTCTCTACATTGGGTCATGCAAGGCCCGGCTGCATTGATTTTTTGTCAAACATGGCCTGGATGGGGTGGCTGATCAAAAGAACTGATTCCTTAGTGCATCGGTGAAGATGAAATACAAGTAGTTCAACTTTGATGATCTATACATATCTATACAATAGACTTACAATAGAGCATGGGAAGTTTGGGCTGGGGTCATCTTGACAACGCTGAGTCTTTCAGATTGCTGAGGATCAAGGTAAGGCAACAACATGCTTTCTGTAGAGTCAAGTGGCTTTTGCATTTGGGGTCATTTTTGCCAGTGACTTGCTGGCTACGCCAGAAAATCTGACTAAATGCTTTGGTATTCGGCTATGGCCACAAGCTTTTTCGGACTAGGGATAATTCTGATATGCTGGCTGTGCATCCGTATATATCAATAGCTTCAGCATTCACAGACTGTGAGGCGATGTTCACATACACAACTTGATTGACAAAGCAATGCGCTCGTTTTTGTTGCAAGTTGCCGTTTCCTGACTGTGGGTTTAAAAGTCTAATACTCATCATACTCTTCCATGATGTTTGCAGTCATTTTTCACACAACTTTCCGCTCATTTCCTTCTAGAAACAACCCTGCCAGGACCAGGTGATCTCATTTTCATTCCCAGTGGATGGTGGCACTGCACAGTGTCTCGGATGGGGCGGAAAATGGAGCCAGTAAAGCTCACGGCTTATAATCTTTCATGTGGGGGATGCTGAGTGCAAGACTGGATAATATTATGATTATTTATAATTGTTTATTATAGACTAAGTACATCGTTTGACAACTTTGGCATGGCGAATCGAGAAGGCAGATCTGTCCTTTTCTAGCTATCCTTATAACCTCTTTGACTTTTTCAATATTCATGTCAATGTATGTCAATGTCCCAACTTACAAACCCAAACGCACTTCAGAATAAAACATGAAGACGCAACAAGAAGAGATGCGCAAACATTTGAACGGCAAAGTTTTACTTCAAAAACTGCTTTTTTTTAGTTTTGTTATGTAGTGTTTTGTTTGTTTCCGGTTGCATCATTTTGTGTAAGGCGGATCTCTTCAAAGTGAATTGCCCCAGGTTTCGCTGACAAAGACTTCAGCGTATACGAGGAGCAGTTTGTGTGAATCTTGTGTCCTGAAGTGATGGCAAAATGTGGCAAATCCAATGCCACAGATTCATACAGATTCCAGGATTGCCTGAGTTGATTAGTTTTTGCTTCTAAAGCGTTCATTCTCTAAAACTACTGGCAATATTCTGCGCGTTCTCTTTGGCGTGGGAATGATATCAAATGATGTTTCTTGGTGTATAGAGGTTGTGATACCTCATTGAAAACTCCTCAAACTGGGTTGATCAGATTGAATGGTGGACTATACTGAATGTTGCTCTTTGCCATGCTGAACCTCTCAGGAATTACATCAACAGCCTGCGACTCAGAGTGCTGAACGGGGGTGATCCTGGGGCGAATACGGGCAAATGCTGATTGCACTTGATGATTTTTAATGATTTGATGCGATCATGATCGATAATGGCTTAACGATGCTTAACGGGCGCCTCTTAAGACAGAGAGACTCCAGCATAGTGATGTTTGTGACGCCAGCTGCAGCAGAATGCACAATCGCATGATCGAACTATACCAAGAGCTTTGCACTATGCCAGATGTAGTACTGCCGTAGTACTGCCGAGCCATTTAGGGCTGCCTTTGGTGAAGCTCCACTGGTATCATAAAAAGGTCTATCCGATCTGGCTCATGAACATCCATCCCCCAGGATCATGTGACACCCCATCATATCCGGTTCACATCCCACCATTCTTCATTAATCTTCATTAAATATAATCTTCATTAAATATATCAGGATTGATATATTTCATTCATATTCATTAATCATTAAGTATATCAGGGCGAGAGGATTAGATATCAACTATTTATTAATCATTATTAGTTAATATATTGATAATTAGTATATCAACTATTTATTGATAATTAGTATATCAACTAATTTTTTCAAACAACTAATTATCTTGATCTCAGGTCACAACTATGCTAGGGCTGAAGAGGCCCTGGCCAAACTTCATCCACAGATGGCCACGCAGTTGCGCACCTGGATCCTCGGTGATACCGGATGGACCGGCCGTGACCACTGAACAAACAGATATGATATACACAGATATATATATATATATATGAGCAACCGTAAAAACCCCGGCAATACTAAATATGTATTCGACGGACATTGGCTTATGGAAATTGATGGAAATTGTTAAAAACACGAGGTAAGCGATGGGACCTTCCCAAATTAGCGATACCCCTTTTCAAGGTTATGTCATGTCTGTGAACAAATGAATCCTTGTTCCGGATGTAGTCGAATGGTAGTACCTTATGTGCTGGTTATTACCGAACCTCACCCAGGCATTGCAGTCAGCGCGCAGCCGTTTTCCTCTTGCGGGCGCTTGAGCCAATAATGGCCGTAACATTGTCAGCTGTTACATGTGCTACCGCTGTGTTCCCTTTGACACCCCCCATGCCCGTGGTATTCTTCGAACCACGGACACGAGAGAGGGAACTTTGAATTAGATTGTTTCTGCTACTTGAATTACGCCTATGTACATAAAACGTGCCATTCGGTTCCCCCTTCCCCACATTCCCGAAGGGAATAATGGTTCAGGGTTCGCCTACTCTCTGGCTGTCGATGCATCGGCGCTTCATCAAGCTGTACAACGCGAATTATTGCTAGCTAACATCTACTTTTCTACGTTGGCTAAGCTTGCCACTCACCCGTCGGGAGAAATGGGTCACTTCGCTACCAAAGATTTACAATGCTAACTAACGAATTCACGTGCACATTGCAGAATTTCATGCAGATTGGGAATATCAAAAGTCTTGAACCTAAGCGAATTAGTCTATTGCCTCGCTCAGAGTCCACTCAGTTGGTCTTTTCCTGATCATCTGTTTACAAAGACGATACACATCTTGTAGTCCAGTGACCATTTTGACGGACAGAGGTAATAAGTTCACTGCTCACGGCGGACTTTCTTCCATTGAGGTGCTGTTGGAGTTCTCTCCCATCCTGCCGCACGTTTCGGAGCAGCTTTCGGCGATGAAGGCTTTGCAGGCGGTGCCTTTGATGGTTCATGGGATTTCGGCATAGCCTTGCCCTTTGGTGCACTAGCCGATGAGGATGATGCTGAACCAGTGCCTTCAGGTGTCTGTGAAGGTTGCGCAGTTGGTTTAGCAAACTTAGAAGCTGCAGTATGTCCAACCGCTTTGAATACTGCACTCACCACTTCGTCGCCAAGGGTTGGAGCCATCTTCGTTTTCATTTCGGTCTTTCCCCTCTGCGCCTCGGCCTCGGCCAGCTGAATAGCATAAGCCATCTTGCTGACAAAGTTTTGAGGTAAAGGAATGCCACATTGTTGGGCGGCAAAGAGCAGTTCTACTCTCTGTTCTTTCTCCCTCAGGCTCAGATATACCGAGAAAGCTGGGAGTTCGATGCAGTTGGGGAAGCCGTGGCTCCCGGAGCGAAAGAAGGTGTATGACTCGTGCTCCGGAAAGGTTCCTTTGAGCAGTCGTCGAAGGAAGTTGCTGATGGTTACTCGCATCTCCTGTTTCCCTTGGGCATCAGCCTGCATTCGGTTCATTGGCATGAGGAAACCCAATGATTCGGGAGTGTACCCGGCGCAGACCAGAAATTCCATCATCTTTTCATAGATCTCTAAATTCTTGATGACAGGCATCATCATGTTTCTTGGTCGTCCTGAGTACATCTTCTCTCCCTCTGACCAGGAGTTCCTTTTCCCTTTCTCCTGAAAGAGTTCATCCAATTCCAGCTCTGTCGGCCGCTTGAGGTTGCCGTCCGGGTCTTCGCCTGTGTAGGGGCAGAAGTCGTCCAGGTCCAGCCGGACTCGCCTTGTTTCCGTCATCATCACATGGTACTCCTCAGGGGTCATAGTGACTCTCTGGTTGTAGTAGTGCCTGAACATTGTGATGACCTTTGACATGACAGCATTGTCATACAAGTGAGCCGCGGCCTCGGAGACATCATTGTTGATAAGACCGTCTTCTGGCATACCCTTGCTGCCGCTCTCAAGATTCTTGGTCCATGCTGGAAGTTTGGTAGAGGGTTCATCATCAGGTTCGACGTCCATTTCATCATCGTCTTCTTCAATGATTTCGTCTTCTTCCCGTTGATCTTCCTCCTCCTGGTCCATTTCCTCATCGTCGCCTTCATTGTAGTCGACCTCGTCAGGATTGAAACCATAATCATTGGATTCGGATACGTTTTCTTGTGCTTGATTGACCGTATCCTTGAACAATGACTCTTCTTGTCGACGAACTTCTTCATCGAGCTCTTTCTTTGTGGCCTCATCTTCATCGTCTTCAGGAGCTTGTAGCCGATATGGACGAATCCCGCAACTCTCGAGTTCTGTCCAGCAAACTATGCACACTGCCAGTTTTGTCGGCGTCTCATTGATACAGTGAGGACAATGGCGGCAACCTGAAGTTTGCACCCTTTTGCGTTCGACTATGTAGTCAATCAGCTTGATGCGGGCCAGGTATTGTTCTTGTCCGCCAGGCTCGATGAGGTTGTTCTTGAATTGGTTGACGATGTTCATGGCATCCATGGCAATCTCGTCAAACGGTTGGTCTTCGGCGTCGATGCATTGACTTGCAACCCTTAGGATGGACTCCTTGGTGGCTACCGTTCTTGATTTGATAGTTCCAGACCGGACTACCTGGTCGTCGCCCGAGGGGACGAACAACCGGAGCCATGTCTTGTTGTACTGATCCTTGGGGTCCTGAATCCATCCTCCTTTGATTGCTGAGAATGGGATGACCCTTGGTGAAACGATCTGTCCCGAGTCAGTTAGTCGACCGCCATATTCCACCATCAAGGTCTCGGTCGGGATGAACAAGCATATGTAGTCACCCTTACGCGTATCAACGCTCTTCGTGATGGTCCATGATCTGTGATCCCATGGGACGTACGGGTTGAAGAACGTGAACATCCGATGACCTTCTCCAAGACCTCCCGGAATTAATCCTTGCCTCCAAATGCTTCGAAGGTTGGCCTTCTTGGTGATGTGGAAACAAACCGGTAATGACAAAACAGTGTTGGGTGCGATTGGATGTGAAAGCAGCGAGGACAGCAATGAAACGTCGTCTCTTGAAGATCCTTCTTTGTGCCCCGTAGGAGCACGAACCGCCACTGGATAGAGCAGTAGACCTTCATCAGGAATGTGCGTATCCGCATCGACATTGTTGTCAATGCACGTCAGGCTGCGGCGATCAATATCCTTGTTGATCCCAAATGCCAAAACTTGTTCACGCACACGACGTCCATACCTGGCACAGTGGAACATGATCTTGAAGAGCAATGTCATACGAAAGTTCGCCTCGTCGACATTCCATGCCCTCTGATCATTTGCTCTTCCCTTTGGGGCAAGGAATACATGTGGCCAGCGTGCATAATCGTGCCTCCAGATGGACTCACATTTGAGCACTTCCTCGATGGGCACCCAGCCGGCGTCATCACAGGGCAGACTCTGTTGTTCTGATACCTTCCCCACATTGTGCCGTAGGATCCTGTTCAGTGAGGCACTCACCTTGTCCTCGTAGGTGTCGAGTCGGTTGCCAGTTTCGAAGCGGTAGTTGGTCGCATATTCTACGCCGCCAAAGTAGGAGCAATTGAAGAAATGGGCCCCTGTGGTTGGGATGATTTTCAAGAAACCATCTTGCGGCGCCTCGACACGTTTGTAGAAGGTCTTCCTGATGTTGTTGTCAGAGTAGCTTGCCATGAAGTCTGGCACTGACCAAGTGTCACCTCCTCCTCTGACGATAGCGTTTCGGATCACTTCGTTGAGGTCAACAACGTTCTGTGGTCCCAGCTTTGTAACATCACGCCCTTCAATGCAGAACTTACCATACTCATCGAGGTCACCAACTTCAGACATAGTTCTGATGCTGTCATACCATTGGTGTTCACTAAACCTCGGTTTTGTAGGTCATCTGTTTGCTCCGACCCTTCAGTAGCACCTGAACCGTCCTTCTTGTGCCCAGGAGGCTCCATATCGACGTCATCAGATGTGGGACTATCAGCCTCGAGCGAAGCTCGGACGGCCTTTAGCACTTTTCTGACTTCATCTCTCTTCTCATGTTCACATTCAAGATGGCCATGTTTGGTGCTACCACAATACAAGCACACATTGACATCCTCAGAGACAGTGAAGAGTTTTCCCAACGCATCCAAAAGTTGTTGTCTCCCCGACATCTCTGATTCCCTGACCACATCAGTGGGATCGTTTGCTGGCTCATCAGCTTCCTCCTCCCCAGGGTGAGCCGAAGGCTCGTCACCTGGCTTGGCATCGGCATCAGCGCCCATGCTAGCGTCATCCCCTGTGATGTTGTTCTTCCTGCGATAATGAGAGAATACCTGATCCTTCTCCCACTCTGTGAGGCAGCTGAAATTGGCCAGCGTCTCATAT